TTTGATTGATTGATTGATTGAAGAGGCGCTGTCGTGCCCTCTTCACAACTTTGTGGGTGTTTGTCGAACGTGTTAATCCCTTAGTGATGTGGACACCGTTGGAACTTGAAGCTCTTGACCCGCTCTACAACAGCCCCATCAATATGGATGGGGGCGTGCTCGCCCCATCCATTTCCTGTATTCCACTATCAGCTCCTTTGTCTTGCTGACGTTGAGGGAAAGGTTGTTGTCCCGGTACTACACTGCCAGGTCTGTGACCTTCTCCTTATAGGCTGCCTCATCGTTGTCGGTGATCAGTCCTACCACCGTCGGGTCATCAGCAAACTTGATGATGGTGTTGGAGTCGTGCGTGGCCACGCAGTCGCGGGAGAACAAGGAGTACAGGAGGGGACCAAGCACACACCGCTGAGGGGCCTCCATGTTTATGGTCGGATATGTTGTTGCCTACCCTCATCGTCTGGGGGCGGCCCGTTAGGAAGTCCAGGATCCAGTTGTAGCGGAAGGTGTTCAGTCCCAGGGTCCTGAGCTTAGTGATGAGAGTGAAGGGGACTATGGTGTTGAACTGCTGTAGTCATTGAACAGCATTCTTATACTAAACAAAAATATAAATGCAACATGCAACAATTTCAAAGATTTTACTGACTTACAGTCTATATAAGGAAATCAGTGAATTAAAATAAATTCATTAGGCCCTAATCTATGGATTTCACATGACTTGGAATACAGATATGCATCTGTTGATCACAGACAGTATCTGGTGTGACCACCATTTGCCTCATTCAGCGCGACACATCTCCTTCGCATAGAGTTGATCTGTGATGCGTGATTTAGAAGGAGTCAGGCGCAGGAGGGTAAATCACAGAATAACTGGTTTATTCCGTAACACAGCGGTATGCAGCAATGCGTAAAACACTCCAGTGCGGAAATACGGCACACTGGAAAACAACAAGGCACAAGCGTGAATATCCCGGCGATACAAAATACAAAAGAGCTCCACCGAGCTATATAATCATCTCCACAATAAACAATCACACACAAAGACAAGGGGGCAGAGGGAACACTTATACAGGCACAGATGAGGGGATATGAACCAGGTGTGTGTAATAAACAAGACAAAATAAATTGAATGATGAGATGAGGAGTGCCAGTGGCTAGAAGGCCGGTGACGACGAACGCCGAAGCCTGCCCGAACAAGGAGAGGAGGCAGTTTCGGAGGAAGTCGTGACAGTACCCCCCCTCTTGACGCGCAGCTCCAGCAGCCTCGGGGACGGCCAGGAGGATGCGGAGCAGGGCGAGCCGGATGGTGACGGTGGAAATCCCGCAACAGGGAGGGATCGAGGATATCCCTCACCGGGACCCAGCACTGCTCCTCTGGACCGTACCCCTCCCAATCTACAAGGTACTGAAGGCCCCCACCCGACGCCTCGAATCCAGGATGGAATGGATGGAGTACGCCGGGGCCCCCTCGATTTGCAGACGGGGTGGAGGGACCTCCCGCACCTCAGACTCCTGGAGCGGACCAGCCACCACCGGCCTGAGGAGAGACACATGGAACGAGGGGTTAATACGGTAATCTGGAGGGTGTAATAACCTATAGGTAACCTTGTTTATTCTCCTCAGGACTTTGAACGGCCCCACAAACCGCGGGATCAGCTTCCGGCAGGGCAGGTGGAGGGGTAGATTCCGGGTCGAGAGCCAGACCCGATCACCCGGTACAAAGACCGGGACCTCACTGCGGTGGCGGTCAGCGTTGACCTTCTGGCGAAGCACGGCGTGCTGGAGGTGGATGTGAGCAGCATTCCACGTCTCCTCTGCTCGCCGAAACCAGTCATCAACCGCAGGAGCTTCGGTCTGGCTCTAATGCCACAGTGCCAGAGCCGGCTGATAACCTAAAACACATTGGAATGGCAATAGGTTAGTGGAGGAGTGGCGGAGAGAGTTCTGGGCATATTCGGCCCAAGGTAAGAACACCGACCACTCCCCCTGCCGCAGGAACCTACCCACATCCTGATTCACCCGTTCCACCTGCCCATTACTCTCGGGGTAAAACCCAGAGGTCAGGCTGACCGAGACCCCCAGACGTTCCAGACCCCCAGACGTTCCACTGGGGACCCCGGTCAGACACTATGTCCTCTGGCATCCTGTAGTGCCGGAAGACGTGAGTAAACAGCGTCTCCGCAGTATGCAGGGCCAAGAGGAGACCGGGCAAAGGAAGGAGGTGGCAGTTTTTTGAAAAGCAGTCCACAACGACCAGGATGGTGGTGTTACCTTGAGAGAGGGGAAGATCAGTGAGAAAGTCAATACACAGGTGGGACCTTGGCTGTTGTGGAACTGGTAAAGGCTGTAACTTACCCGCTGGGAGGTGCCTAGGTGCCTTACTTTGGGCGCACACCGAGCAGGAAGAGACATACACCCTCACGTCCTTAGCCAAGGTAGGCCAACAGTACTTTCTGATCAGGCAGTGCACTGTACGGCCGATACCTGGGTGACCAGAGGAGGGGGACGTGTGTGCCCAATAGATCAGACGGTCACGGACAAGAGACGGCATGTACCGCAGCCCAGCTGGGCATTGAGGTGGAGATGGCTCTGTGCATAACGCCCGCACTATGTCGGCGCCCACCGCCCACACTACCGGCGCCACAATGCAGGAGGCAGGGAGTATGGGGGTGTTCTCTATGGGCCTCTCCTCTGTGTCGTACAGCCGTGACAGTGCGTCTGCCTTCATGTTCTTCGTACCCGGTATGTAGGACAGTGTAAAATCAAACCGGGTGAAGGACAGGGCCCACCTGCCTGGCGAGGGTTCAGCCTCCTTGCTTTCCGGATGTACTCCAGGTTACGGTGGTCAGTCCAGACTAGGAAAGGGTGTTTCGCCCCCTCGAGTCAGTGCCTCCACACGGTCAGGGCTCTGACAACAGCCAACAGCTCCCGATCACCAACGTCGTAGTTCTGCTTGGGTGGCATGCCCGAGCGTTGAGATAGGACAGCACCTATCTCTACCTCGGACGCATCCACCTCCACTATGAACAGTAATGATGGATCGGGATTGGCCAGTACCGGGGATGAGGTGAACAGAGCCCTCAGGTTACTGAAAGTCCTGTCAGCCTCAGCAGACCAGCGGAGCCGGGACAGCCCACCCTTCAACAGAGAGGTGATGGGAGCTGCGACCTTGCCAAAGCCCCGGACAAACATCCGATAGTAGTTGCCAAAGCTAATAAAGCGCTGCACCTCATTTACCGTGGTTGGAGTTGGCCAATTACGCACGACTGAAATGCGATCTCCCTCCATCTCCACACCTGAGGTGGTATTGCGGTATCCGAGGAAGGAGACGGACTGTTGGAAAAACAGACACTTTTCTGCCTTGTCATAAAGATCATGTTCCAACTGTCGGCCCAGCACTTTGCGTAGCGGAATACACCAGCATGTCATCGATGTAGACCACTACACCACGACCAAGCTCCCGAAACACCTCATTCACAAAGGACTGGAAGACGGATGGAGCATTCATCAAACCGTACGGCATCACCAGGTATCCTCTTCAATGGCTGTGCGAAGTTGCTGGATATTGGCAGGAACCGGAACACGCTGTCGTGTACGTCGATCCAGAGCATCCCAAACATGCTCAATGGATGACATGTCTTGTGAGCATGCAGGCCATGGAAGAACTGGGACATTTTCAGCTTCCAGGAATTGTGTACAGATCCTTGCGACATGGGGCCGTGCATTATCATGCTGAAACATGAGGTGATGGCGGCGGATGAATGGCACGACTTTGGGCATCAGGATCTTGTCACGGTATCTCTGTGCATTCAAATTGCCATCGATAAAATGCAATTGTGTTCGTTGTCCATAGCTTATGCCTGCCCATACCATAACCCAACAAACACAAGTGAAGTGTTGGTCCCATGTTTCATGAGCTGAAATAAAAGATCCCAGACATTTTCCATATGCACAAAAAGCTTAATTCTCTAAAATGTTGTGCACAAATTTGTTTACATCCCTGTTAGTGAGCATTTCTCCTTTGCCAAGATTATCCATCCAACTGACAGGTGTGGCATATCAAGAAGCTGATTAAACAGCATGATCATTACACAGATGCACCTTGTGCTGGGGACAATACAAGGCCACTCTAAAATGTGCAGTTTTGTCACACAGCACAATGCCACAGTCGTCTCAAGTCTTGAGGGAGTGTGCAATTGGCATACTGACTGCAGGAATGTCCACCAGAGCTATTGCCAGAGAAATAAATGTTATTTGCTCTACCATAAGCCGCCTCCAACGTAATTTTAGAAAATTTGGCAGTACGTCCAACCGGCCTCACAACCGCAGACCACGCCAGTTTAGGACCTCCACATCCGGCTTCTTCACCTGCGGGACCAGCCACCCGGACAGCTGATGAAACTGAGGAGTATTTCTGTCTGTAATAAATCCCTTTTGTGGGGAAAAACTAATTCTGATTGGCTAGGCCTGGCACCCCAGTGGTTGGGCCTGGCTCCCAAGTGGGTGGGCCTATACCCTCCCAGGCTCACCCATGGCTGCGCCCCTGCCCAGTCATGTGAAATTCATAGATTAGGGTCTACTGAATTTATTTCAATTGACTGATTTCCTTATATGAACTGTAACTCAGTAAAATTGTTGAAATTGTTGCATGTTGCGTTTATATTTTTGTTCAGAATATATATGGAATATCTATGGAAAGAGTTTATGATTTTATGCAATTCATCATCACAACTGACTGAACAGTCGCTGATGCTATGTGTCAGTGTGAATCATTTCTCATATTTCTCCCCTCTCAGGGGTAAAACATTACAATTGTATAGCTAATAGGCTATGTGTTTGTAGATCGACTGAGCTGAATTAACCTACAGCAGGTGACGACCGCGGAACTCTAACTCTGTCGGCAATTGGGTTGCATGACAATAGTCACAGTAACAGGAAATAACAGCGACAATAATAGCATCACAAACAGGAAAACAGAGCTTGTCTCATCCTTCTTCCTTTAGGTCCTGTTTCTGGCCGGTCTGACGTTCATCATTGGCCTGAGGAGGACGGCCGGCTTCTTCTTCCAGAGACAGAAGCTCAGAGGCTCCACCTTCTTCCTGGGGGGCGTGGCCTTGGTGCTGTTCCGCTGGCCAATCATCGGCATGGCCGTGGAGAGCTACGGCTTCGTGCTCCTGTTCAGGTGAGTTCAATAGCACCTCTAGGGTAGTGATAGAGAGGAAATTTTATGTTTAACATTTTTGTAATTCAGCAGACACTTTCATCCAGAGCATCTTAGAAGACATGTTTTCTAGGAAGCTAGGTGGAACAACCACATAGCAACAGGAGAGCTGGGAGAGGATTAGGTTATATGAGAGACATACAGTACCTTGGTGGCATACAGTACCAGGGCAAAGCAGTATCAACTTTCCCAGACCTCTCAACTATATTGGCCTTCAATTTAAAACAGACAAAGCAAAGGAGGGATTCCATTTAAGGTTTAACACGGCAGATATACATTTGAAGTCGGAAGTTTACATACACTTAGGTTGGAGTCATTAAAACTCGTTTTTCAACCACTCCACAAATGTCTTGTTAACCAACTATAGTTTTGGCAAGTCGGTTAGGACATCTACTTTGTGCATGACACAAGTAATTATAGTAAGATTATTTCACTTATAATTCACTGTATCACAATTCCAGTGGGTCAGAAGTTTACATACACTAAGTTGACTGTGCCTTTAAACAGCTTGGAAAATTCCAGAAAATGATGTCATGGCTTTAGAAGCTTCTGATAGGCTAATTGACATCATTTGAGTCAATTGGAGGTGTACCTGTGGATGTATTTCAAGGCCTACCTTAAAACTCAGTGACTCTTTGCTTGACATCATGGGAAAATCAAAAGAAATTAGCCAAGACCTCAGAAAAAAAATTGTAGACCTTCTCAAGTCTGTTTCATCCTTGGGGGCAATTTCCAAACACCTGAAGGTACCACATTCATCTGTACAAACAATAGTACGCAAGTACAAACATCATGGGACCACGCAGCCGTCATACCGCTCAGGAAGGAGACGCGTTCTGTCTCCTAGAGATGAACGTACTTTGGTGCGAAAAGTGCAAATCAATCCCAGAACAACAGCAAAGGACCTTGTGAAGATGCTGGAGGAAACAGGTACAAAAGTATCTATATCCACAGTAAAACGAGTCCTATATCGACATAACCTGAAAGGTCGCTCAGCAAGGAAGAAGCCACTGCTCCAAAACCGGCATAAAAAAGCCAGACTACGGTTTGCTACTGCACATGGGGACAAAGATTGTACTCTTTGGAGAAATTTCCTCTGGTCTGATGAAACAAAAATATAACTGTTTGGCCATAATGACCATCGTTATGTTTGGAGGAAAAAGGGGTAGCTTGCAAGCCGAAGAACACCATCCCAACCGTGAAGAACGGGGGTGGCAGCATCATGCTGTGGGGGTGCTTTGCTGCAGGAGGGACTGGTGCACTTCACAAAATAGATGGCATCATGAGGAAGGAAAATTATGTGGGATATATTGAAGCAACATCTCAAGACATCAGTCAGGAAGTTAAAGCATGGTCGCATACTTCCAAAGTTGTGGCAAAATGGCTTAAGGACAACAAAGTCAAGGTATTGGAGTGGCCATCACAAAGCCCTGACCTCAATCCTAGAAAATGTGTGGGCAGAACTAAAAAAGCGTGTGCGAGCAAGGAGGCCTACAAACCTGACTCTGTCAGGAATGGGCCAAAATTCACCCATCTTATTGTGGGAAGCTTGTGGAAGGCTACCCAAAACGTTTGACCCAAATTAAACAATTTAAAGGCAATGCTACCAAATACTAATTGAGTGTATGTAAACTTCTGACCCATTGGGAATGTGATGAAAGAAATAAAAGCTGAAATAAATCATTATCTCTACTATTATTCTGACATTTCACATTCTTAAAATAGTGGTGATCCTAACTGACCTAAGACAGGGAATTTTTATTAGGATTAAATGTCAGGAATTGTGAAAAACTAAGTTTAAATGTATTTGGCTAAGGTGTATGTAAACTTCCGACTTCAACTGTATGACTGATGCCCTCCCAACACTGTCAAAATGAACGCCCAGTTTGGAAGATCACAGACACCGCTACCACGTCAGAGTTCTCATCATCCTTATCCAAGGTTCTGACATGAATGAAGGGTCAATGAAAGTCTACATCACATTACTGACCGCGTCCATGGACCAGCCCTGGACTAGCCCTGGACCACTTTCTGAGACACACCGTGGCCAAAGCATGTGAAAAAGCTTCAATCCAAAAAAGAATGTCTAATACCTCCCTGTGGTTCTAAGAGGTGATAAGATTAACTTCATTTTCCCTGAAGGGATATTTGTAATAATAATATGCCATTTAGCAGACGCTTTTATCCAAAGCGACTTACAGTCATGTGCGCATACATCTTTACGTATGGGTGGTCCCGGGGATCGAACCCACTACCCTGGCGTTACAAGCGCCATGCTCTACCAATTGAGCACAGAGGACCTTCAGAACTTGGACATTCAAGTTCTGAAGTTTTGTATCCTGGGCAATGCCAAAGACAAAATCACTCTGTGGTAGTTCTAAGCTGAAGTGACAGTGTCTGCTGGGTTGCAATGTTCTCACTTCATATTTATATGTCTATATCTCCTTCCAGGTCATTCTTCCCTGTGGCATGTGGATTCATTTTATCGTTGGTGAATATCCCCTATCTCAATGTGGTGAGAGCAACAATCCTTCTTTTTTTCAACTGTGACTGTCACTAAGCCAGACTTTGAATAAACATAATACATTATGATTTAATCATAAGCATGATTTTTTTCATTCTCCCACAAAATAGCCGAGATCCATCAGTAAATATGGGAAGCGTTGTTTGAGCTCAGAAAGCAATGGAAAAAAACAACAATGCATGAGCCGGTCTCCAAGACTGCTTGACGTTTGGGTACACCCCAGATGTTTCAACAAAGAGATAATTTTTCCACATAACATTTTCACAATGTGTCTAGTGGCAAGTTATAGTCTCCCAATAGTGCTGCTTCATGAAAGACTGAAATCTCTCTCTATTTCTCTCTTCTCTTTTTTTCATTCTCCAAGGGAAACAGCTCCTCTATGATCTGAGGGAAGAGAAGGGGAGTGGAAGCTCTCTATATTTCTCTCTCACTCTTTCTCTCTTCTTTCTTTATTATCCCAGTTGTACAACAACTTCCTAGGAAGTAGCCCTTGTATGGTCTAAGGAAAGGGAGAGAGAGGGTGGAAGAGATGAAAAAAGGAAGCAGAAAAAGAAGAGAGGAATGGAAGTGATGGGTGAGAAAATGAGTATTTGGGCTCAGACTGGCTATAACCTTTGACAGAGACTGATGGAACGGGGAAGTGATGGAGTTGAGGTAGCTTAAAGCCTTCCCCATCAACAACCATGAACCAACCGATGGACTCTTCTTCTTGAAATGTTTACATAAAACATGAACTATCAAATAAATCATGTGTGGCAATGAGTAGCTGCCATATCACTAATGTACAGGGTTGGGAGTAACCGATTACATGTAATCAATTAAACTGTAAATGCAATCAGTTACCTTACGAGCAGAAATATTGGAATCAGATTACAGATACTTTTGAAAAAGTAGATGATTAGTTATTGGATTACTTTTACATTTAGAAAGGATGTTTGCGGAAAAAAATACGTTACGACACCTTTCTGTTTTCTCAATGACATTCAATTCAGCATTGAAAAAAGGCACACGTTTAAGTTTGTTCCGCCTGAGCAAGTCTGACCACAAGTCAGAGACCACTATGGTGACACACCAAATGCGTTTGATGGATCCTTTCTGTCTTCTTCTAATGCCTCTTAAGGAAAGTATTCAAAAAGTAATTGAAAGTAATCAGATTGTTACTGAGTTTGGGTAATCCAAAATTGTGGTTACTCATTACAATTTTGGACAGGTAACTAGGAACTGTAACGGATTACATTTAGAAAGTAACCTACCCAACCCTGCTAATGTATTTATAATAAAACCTTATTTTTGATCTACAGTTTATCATACCCTTTATTATAGCTGTAGTCAACCAATTACGAGCCCTTTTGTTAAACACACCTAGGGCTCGATTCAATCCGTAGTGCTGAAGTGCAATAGAAATTTAAAGGCAATGTTCCCGCATTCGCAGAGAATGCATTCATGCAAATGCTGTATATGTTGGCTCAATCAAAATGACCTTTACATTTCGCTCTACAGTGTGGATCTTCAGCGCTACGGATTGAATCGAGCCCTACACATGTAATTTACTTATTTCCATGATATGTTGTACATTTCAAAAGTGTTGTGTGTTACCTATATAACATTTATTTAAGTGAAAATGCCCGAGAAGCTGGTGTTTAGAGGATATATTGGCACGGGTGTTGTTAGGCCCAAGACGAATTCGAGGGCCGGCAAACTGTGCCAATATATCCTCCAAACACCGGCTTCGAGGGCATTATCAGTTTTATACAACGGGTTACCAACATCTTCAAATAATGATTGACATATTTTCATTAAAACTTTATTTTGATGAATGTATTCATTCTATTTCATTCTTCCACAAGATATAGTCCCGACACAAATCTAGGGTTGCTACCGAAGCCGGTTGGTTGTTCGTTCTATCAGTTTGGTTGCCAGAGACGCGACCCAGTCGTTCAGTCTTTTTGTTCTGTATCTATGGACGCGACCCAGTCATTCGTTTGAAATGTTCCATTGCCATACTGGCTGGAAACGTTCTTATCCCTTGCTTGCTAGCTAGCCAACTATGGCTTAGTTACAGTCACGTTAAACACTGGAGCCAGAATAACAACAAAGTAGCTGCATTTGCATTTGTTTAAGCAGTTTTCTAGTGATATTTATTTGGATACATCCATAACAATGAGCTGGTATAGAAAATGTGCTCTCTCGTCAGGACACTGTTGTCCGAGAGCTAGCCAACAACACAGCTAACACAATCACTTCAAACAGGAGCTGGAAAGACTGCAAACTAGCTGCACTTCGCTTCGCTTGACCTGTTCCATAAAAATGATGATGATTCATGATTTCGACTGGCTGAGAAAAGCAACCTACCCGTCTGTCTCATCCTAACTCCCGACACGTTCATTACTATGGAACAGCTGAAGATCGAATTGGAATATTGAAACAATGTTGCAAATGTTGGAGAGACAGACAGCAAGGTTTATACAAATCTCTGCTGTTGAAAACTAAATGTTAGTCTAAAGGAAATTGGAGATAATGTCTAGATGCTTTTGATTGTGGAGATCAAGTTGATAAATTGCCTGGCTGGGCTGATGAAACAATGGATTGCGCAGTCAGATGGAACATAGTAAATAGGCATTTTAACATCATATATTTAGCCGGAGGTAACTTGTGGAATAGACACCGGCTGGAATGCGGTTTTAACCAATCAGCCTTTAGGATTGTAATTTTTTTTTTTTTTTTACATTTTAGTCATTTAGCAGACACTCTTATCCAGAGCGACTTACAGTTAGTGAGTGCATACATTTTTCATACTGCCCCCCCCCCGTGGGAATTGAACCCACAACCCTGGCGTTGCAAGTGCCATGCTTTACCAACTGAGCTACAGGAGGCCTGTATAATAATAGCTATGCCTTCCATTATTCAGAATGTTTAGTGAATTACTTTTTCCACTCCTTTTCGGGGGAAATGGACTAGCAACTGTAGCCAGTGCTATTTTGTAACATCCCAACCCCCATTTGTGCAGTTTAAATACAAAGAACAATATCAAGAAGACATTGGGAATGAGGCTACATATTCATCAAACCACTTCTCCTTTGCAATGTTCCATTTTGTTTATTGTCCGGATGATCTTGACATAAAACTCAATGACCCTGCATTGTGTGCTGGACAGGTCTAAATAACATTTGATTGGGTCCAATTCAGGGGAGTCACTTCGGAGACATTCTGGCAATCACCAGACAGAACAGAGAAGAGGGGGATGAAAGGAGAGATATAAAGAAGGGAGGGGGTCCAAGCACACCAGGTTACAACACAGGGACGATGACGCAATTGGTCACCCTACAAAAGCCCCTTTGGGGTGGGTAGTGAGGACACAGTCGGAGTGGTCTACATATCTATCCTCTTCAGGCGGCTCCACAGGGAAACAGGTAAGCCAATGTTGTTCCTTCCATGGTAGATTTTGTATGGTGAACTCAATCTGTATGCCATTGCCTTGGAACTGAGTGGTTTGTCAACTTGGTGTTGAAATCATCCACATTGATTGCTCCTGGTTCTAAACAAACAAGATAGTTGGCCTCAATTTCAGAGAGTAGTATTCAAGAAAAAAACAGGGTTTCCAGGAAGTTCAAGTCAAAATTCACCTATTTTTGTCAGTCTATCGTTCTTTTTATTTACATGAAATGTACTGTACATATGCCTTGTCAAGGTTTTCAGGTTTTCAGGAACGTAGTAAAGGTTGTGGTTAGTAGCTGAGTGTGGTGTACTGTAATGCACCAGAGGAGTGCCACGTTAACCAGATCCACAGCTGAGGCAGGCAGGCAGGGATCAGTATCCCTTTGTTAACTGAGCTCTGCACTGCAGGATCAGTGTCTTTGACTGGATCGGAGCATGGACAGCAGATAAACTACTGGGTTGCAGGCCTCTTTAGTGTTTAACGAGCCAGAAGAGTCAAGGCTTGGCCCAGTGGCTGAGGCCAGAACCTCACAGAACCAATGACACTTTAATCAGAGTTTATGACCAGGAAGAGAGGAGGCGACAGCTGCTGCACCAACAGCTAGGGTTCCCCTCCATCAAAACCACAATCTGGAGGTTTCTGAAGATAATATTATTGTTGGGCTATTTTATTTGTTTTTGTTTATGCCATTTAACAGACACCTTTATCCAAAGTGACTTACAATCACGCGTGCATGCATTTTGTACATATATAGGTGTTCCCAGGAATCGAACCCACTATCCTGGTGTTGCAAGCATCATACTCTACAAACTGAGCTACATAGGATCACGTTTCATTTTAATTTATTAATACTGTGTTGAATAGATCAATTCAACTGGTTAATGAAAATATTCTGTGTGGGTCCAAAGTGTTTTTTTTTTAACAGCATTAATATAATTTAGGATTTATCGTTATATAAAAACCTTTAAAATAATTTGTAGTTGATGATTCCCTTCCACTTAACTGTCCAAAGTAAGCAAGTCAGTAAAAATAATTAGCCAATAAAAAGTGATTCAGGGCTCACTGGAAAGCTGAATATGAAAGATTTGGAAATGTTTACTTTTGTGGTGTTTGGGCAGAAATGGTACTCTAGCAGTGAGTAAACAGGACACTTGAATATCAAGCGCATCCCTTCAGTCAGCCAGAGATAACTGAGGAAGTAGTGGTTGGTAATGATGTCACAGACCTTTGATGCTCCTGTTTGAAGTCAACTGTTGAGTTTTTGAGTGTGTGTGCATGTGTATGTGTGTGCGTGTGTGTGTGTGAGGGAATGAAGGGGGGTAGGAGGAGATCATTCTGTTTTGTGTGTGTGCGTGTCCGTGCGTGCATGCATGTGTGTGATAATCTATGTTTGTGTCTGAAAAAGTAAGTTTATGTCTTTGTTGAGAAGAGTATGAGCAGCCCTGGGAGTATTCAGTCAGCTGTGGGAGGTCAATACCCCAACCTTTCCCCTTTGTTCCCCCTGTGTGCTGTGCAGGGTGAGTTGCTTTCATCTCCACAGAGCAGATGATATGAGTTAACACTGAGGTCACATTGGCAAGTTGCCCAGCAACCACACACATCCCCAATACATCAAACTGCCTTTTGCCCACATCCCCAATACATCAAACTGCCTTTTACACACATCCCAAATACATCAAACTGCTTTTTACACACATCCCAAATACATCAAACTTCCTTTTACACACTTCCCCAATATATCAAACTGCCTTTCACACATCCACAATACATCAAACAGCCTTTTACACACATCCCCAATACATCAACCAGCCTTTTACACACATCCCCAATACATCAAACTGCCTTTTACACACATCCCCAATACATCAAACAGCCTTTTACACACATCCCCAATACATCAAACTGCCTTTTACACACATCCACAATACATCAAACTGCCTTTTACACTAAGAACACCACTCCTAAGATATACTGTATCCATTTACAGAATCCATGTTGATCTAAAGGGGTGAGCGGATGGAAAATATACAGTTATATACATATTCAGTTAATTTACCATGCTTTATTTTGGCTAGATAATTCACTTTGAGGGCTACCCTAAGGACTATTAAACTAATGTCCATTACTGCACCTTTAATGTACTGGACTTCTCTCCTGTGTGTCTCTTTACAGATACATTAAGCCAAGCGGTGTGTTCCAGGCTAACACCACCAACCACCAACCATGCTGCAGCTCACTGTGGTTCTGATGTTAATCGCTTCACTAACAGAGGCTTTCCCCGCTAGCAGCCTCAGATACTCCCACTATACCCAAGGTACAGTCACCCATGTCATTTATAGTGTCTGTAAATACAGTATGTATATGCCTTAAGAGGACACATTATCGGTGGTTTAGATCAAATGAGATGAGATAGAAAGCATAAAGGTCATGCTTCACATGAGTGTTAGTCCT